AGCAAGAGTAAATAGTGAGTGATATGTGCTTTTATTTGTACAATTAACCAAGATAGCTCTAATCTATAAAAAATGTTCGGCTTAATTGCACAACAATTTGGGTTCTTTTCTGTCATCATACAAATTAAATTACTCAATTCAAGTGAGACATGCATGGAAAGGAACACGGAACTAAACGCTTTGGAAATAACGGAGAGAAGTTTAGGACATTGTTAGTTTATTTTTAAATATAAGACTAAAACCAACTTCCTCTTAAACAAAGATACAAATAGTTATAAAAAGATAATGCAATTACATAATGAAACTTGCTTTAGTACGTGGTTAAAAAGCTCAGTGTGTGGATACACTAACACTGGGTTGAAGGTGAGTTCCTGAATGACGCTCCCTGCATTCCGAGTCATTTGAAAATTCGCATTTGTGAGGCTTTTACGTGTTATCGTAAATGCCCCCTTTTTCATCGCGAGACATTCACTTCCCACGATTATTTGATAGATATCCACAGATATCAAAATAGATATCGAAGTCCTCATATTCAGGATGGCCGCAATGCCAATTTCAAAACAGAAATGCACATGTACTCGATTGGTCAGTTCTAGGAAGAGCATCGAGGAGGACCAAACCCTCTTTACTAGACATCCCCGGCCTGTGATCTCACAACTAGCCAACTAGCTTGAAACCGTAAAGTCCAGAGCAATCACAACATCACGAGATGCGAAGAAGTCCGCATACGATCTGACATGATGACGCATTTCAATTCAAAAAGTCCCATTTTGTCAAAGGGCTGTAATGGACACTTCTGTTAATTAACGCTACATAAAGCCAATAAACGAAGTAACTGTTTAGCATTAGCTTCCACTTCGAGACACGGAGAAAAACACAACTCATGTACGTTTAAAATCTTAAGAAAAGTGTTAGAGAGCCGGTATAAATGTTAAATGTAGGGGAAATGCACTTTTCCCTGCTTCTGAATTACAGTTAAACATCGCGACGCCAACTGTTTAAACAGGCAAAATGCTAGTTTCCTACATTCCAACGGGACGAAATTTACGAAGTTACACTGCTGAATTCATGAAAACTTTGTTTAAAAAATGTCTTGCAACAAAATTGTGATTTTTTTTTTTCGTATTTACAACTTTAAAGGCCAAAACTAAAGAGGAAGGTATCTCACCGTTCAGATGCGAACCGTCAGTCCAGGAAGAGCTGAGTCGATAAGAGCTGACTGATGTGGGTGGGTCCTCCAAATTGTTTCCGTCACAGAAAACAACCTTTGCTCTGTCATTGACTGGAAGTCAGCCTGCTGGCGAGTAGGGAAGGCTGTGATGAGCCTCTGTCTCCACTGGGGACACTGGGACGTTTGTGCATCCTTCAATAATCCACCTTCTACATCCCCTTCATACGAATCAAGGATGGGGAAAGAAGCCTGAACATCACCTATGTTTGTGGATCCAGACAAGAGGAAGTGCTAACCATAATATAACCTACAATTCTGCAATGGTTTTTGTTGAATTCATACAGTCAGCTGCAGAGTTTTCATGGTAAATCTTTTATTAAACATTCGTATTGATAATGTAAAGGTGGATATGCATTGGTAGCTTACATTTTCTGTAATACCAGAATATTGTATTCTCATGCAAATACTTTGAGCCAAAAAAGTGTTTTGTCCAAAAAAGTGGGTGTTTTCTCAAACTCCTTCAACTGTCTTTGGGCTTTCAGTTTATGTTGTTAAATGCATGCAAAGTTTTTAGTGGATTTATCTTGATTTAAGTCTTAGAAGACCTTCTAGAAAGTCAATAAGTGAGCTAAATTAATTCTAATGTTAAACTCTCATGTAAATAAAGATTGTTTATACTAGATTCATGACAAGGCCCATCTGATATGAAATGAGGCACAGGATAACATTTTTCTACAGGCGACAACTCTGGACTTTTGGCAGTCCATTTGTGGCTCTTTAAAACAGAGCCATAACGATGTGTTTTGGCCATGTCTCAGCTAGAAGATCAGCACATATTTCAAATTTTGTTAAAAGCAAAGTTGATGGGTCATGTCTGATGAAAAACAACTCC